TGTAGCATTCCATCTGCTTCACCTTCTCCGTCCACCATGCATTTTTTATGCGACGGAGCTCTAGGGTTAGTCGCCGTCGAAGTTTGAGAAACTGACTACTCTTCCCCAAGTCACCAGGGTCTGCGACATGTGCAGCAAATGTCGCATTCTTCCCCCGACACCAATGCGCCAATCGTCGCATTGTTCTCATCAAACCAATCAGACTGCTTAGAGTTTCGCGCGCCCGATGGTCTCCTCCGCAGCAGCTGTCACCTGGTCGCGAATGTGGTGCCACAGGTAGCCCACTGTGGCTATGCATTCCACATCACACAGGCGTGCAGTCATCGAATTCTCCAGCTCAATACGTTTCGCCACGGTACCGAGGGAGAGAATGTTAAATTTACGCCCATTCACGGCGGGAGTGCAATACATAGATTTACGAAAATATATGTACAGTTTGGTCCGAACCAATTTGTGATCAGTGCCACACTCAGCTCCACGCAGTACACGTGTCTTGCGCACTTCACGCATATCACGCTGACGTACGATGACATAGTCGAGCAGGTGAGCGTGACCACTCCGTGGGTGTGTCCAAGTTGCTATGTTACTCGCGCTCAGTGCAAACGATTGTTCGTGATCGTCCAGGCCGTGAGCGGCATATAGTGAGAGCAGCCTGTCACCGTTCGCATTCACTAAACCAATGCCAGGCGGACCGATAACATCTGTCCCCACCGATGCATCACGCCCAACGCGTGCGTTGAAATCACCCAACAGAAATAGTCGGTCCCTCCTCAGCACGGACGGTGTCACGGAAGATAACTGATCACGCGTGTCATCAGGATAACACATGGTCGGACCATAAAAATGGCAAACCTACCTCTTCCGAGTCGTAGGTGAACTTCCATCAGTCGCGCGCTGATGCCCGTTGGTTCATCCACTAGCTGGCCATGGAGGTGGTCGGATATTGCAAATCCGACCCCATGTTCATGTGATGCTGAGGTGGGCGTTGCCCACACAATAGAACGTGTATCTAGCACCTGCATCATGCAACATACCTAGCTCAGCGAGCCGAGTCTCACTGAGCGCCGCAATATCGATGTAGTACCGCACCAGTTCCATCGCGACGAGCGCAGTGCGTCGCTCGGGGTGCTCAATCGAATTCCGGTCTAGTAGTGCGCGCACGTTAAAGCACCGGATGCTGAGTGCTTTGCGCGCATTGGTGGGCAATCTCACGCGTGGTAGTGGTTGTGCTTAGGCGGTTTGCTTGAGGGACGCTACTCGGAGCCTTTGGCTCAATAGCCTGACCCACAATGTAGTGGGGAGCAGATCCAGTTCGGGAATGTAATTGCAGACAGATTGGGATCAGCTTGAGCTCCGTCACAAGCAGTGTTTGAAGTTCTGGAACAATTCTTTTGTGTTTTGTGACCGTACTAAGACACGAACATAGGAGCACAGCCAGTCGCGAGAGGGTTTGGGCGGGTTTGCACCAATTTGACCAGGGGCTGCCTGGCTTGAGGCGGGCAGTAGCAAAGCATTGAGCACCCGGAGGTGCCCTCCCATCATCAGAGACAATGCGTGGCGCTCGAGCTTTGCGCCAATCGTGCTGTGAGCTTATAACCCGTGGACCGGTTGTCTCGCATGGTTAGGTTTTATGGGAAGAGAGCCATCGACAACTTCCTAACCTAAGAAGCGGATGGACTAGGATACTGTCAGGGCGCCCACTCCTGAGAGGAGAACGACTCGGGTTCTCAGCCAAAGCCTTCGATTAAATGTACACCCAAAAGGCAGCGAGTCTAGCACATAGTCAGTTCACTGACTCATGCGGATTGGTGTCCTGGCTCATAGCTAAGAGCACGGCGTAACCCAACTCCCACCAAGCGGTTGCCACGAGGCGTCCAGGACATGAACCCATGGCACAACAGTAGCAGCAGTGGGTAGACCATCTGCATGGATCCAGCAACCAGCAGCCTCAGCGAACCATAGGCTCTCCCGTACGTTGTATATATATATATATATGTTATATATATATATATATATATATATATATATATATATATGCATGCTGCACTGGTGTCCTTTAAAATAGATCGCTTGCGGTGGTTGTGCCATTTCCGCTGTGCACCCGTCAACCGCCTACCCCGGCAGCCGAGGTAACTGATCGGATGGGACCAAGGGGTGACCAGCCTTGATGTGGCAGAGGCACGGAGAAATTTATTAGTAAGTTCTGGATAGACCAAGTCAGTGGATATTGAGCTTATCCGACATATAATATTGAGGAAAGCAATGGTGATCTTGCATTCAGTCTCCTACATCTACTCTTAAACTTGTTATCTCAACTGGTTCTATTAGTTTCTCCTGCAGCACATTATCATTTTATTCAACTCTGAACTCTGCTTTACTTCCCCTAATATTCATAGCCAATGTTATGGTGGCGATGAGAGTTATGTTAACAGGATCAAGTATATTTCGATGCTAGCTATTCGATGTCAGCTATTCAGTCGGACAGAAGGGAACCAAAAATGACGGATTATCCTATTTGCCCAAGTGGATCCATTACCTTTGGTGGTCAAACCACCGATGAAGCCGATTTACACATCGAGTCAGTCTGAATCATCTGCCGAGACGGCAATACATCGATCTATCGGTAAAGCGTACAGTTCTGACGCCCATCCAATGCTGTTGCACAAACAGGAGCAACGGTCACTAACTGCAGAGACCGAATATGCTTAACCCCAGCGCTGGTGTAACATCGCTTACATCGAGTGGAGCTATGGATTGAAAAAGTTGGCGAGATGCCATTTAGTAACTGGGTCTAACACCAAGCTTTAATGATAGCTGCTTAACTGAATGAATTTGATAAGATAGAAAATTTCTATGAATCACTTGCAAGTATATCCCGATCGGCTCTGGTCCTTCGAAAGACCAGGGCCTCACAATCCAAGCCGTAGATATTAGTACACCGACCGCCTATGTAAACTGACCGCACGTGTCTTTAAAGATAAGCTGATCATGTAGAGGCAGAGCAACGATCACAGGAGAAAATTCAGGGATTATAGCCCGAGGTCTTCTCGACAACACCATCCCAGTAAACATCTTATGGGGTATTTTCAAAAGTAGTATAGTGAGTTCCGAACGCGGATCCGAATGCATCTTTTCACCGCCTGATGAAGTGTTGAATACAACGGTTGGATTAATCACAAGTGAGTTGTCACTGCTTTGGCAACAATCGAACGTCAACTTCACGCCCAAATGAACCAGTTCGCCTCGAATAACTCCGATGTGAGCAGCCAAACCATCAACGTTGCTTGAGACTTCGGGTGGTTTGGAAAGCTCGTCGTTAGGCTTTATATTGGTACAATGGTTTGCGTGCTTCAAAGATCCAGCGAAATGTGGCGAGTGGTCCTTCTTCCATCTTCAGGACTACTAATACCAGATTGGTCAGTGTTTAGAGGTCAGACAAACGGTTTGCTGCCTTTCCAAGTTTGAGCGCTGGAGTTGTCTACTTATTACTAAAACGGGCACCCATTGCTTACCGGTTAGGTTCTAGAATCAAAGGTGTTGGTTGAAAAATCTAATCGTTCTGTAGTCTAGGCCTGAGCAACCTGACATTGTCCTGCACAAGCAATACAACGATAAACTCTATGCACAATTCCATAATGCTCTAGCTGTCGCATCCAGTCTATCGCATCGTGAGACGGAAAGGAACGAAGGTGCTACCGCTCAGCTTTCCCATCATTTTATTCTCACTCTGACACTCCTTCAAACTTATCAGCTCAGTTTCAACTTCACTATTATCCCCACCCACGTTTTCACCCCTTAATTCTTGGACCTATCCAGTACCAGTGATCGGAATGGCAGAGGTTGACTTCAAAGTCAACCGAGCCCACAACTGAGGTTGCATGTCACAATTCAAGACACACGGCGTGTACCGAAAACACGACAATCACAGAATGGCTGTTTTACCAGAACATCGTCTAACCACGATCGGGAGTTCGCTCCATGAGATTCGACGTTTTCATACATTAAACAAGAAGTACAACCGTAAGAAGTGGCTTTGGGGGGGGGGGGAAGCTATCAAAGGCTGCACGCACGAAACAAGCGCTAAGGTTACGAACGCAGTAACGGGCACGTAACCGAATCGACGAAAAGATAACACAGCGGGCGTTACGACGAGGATACAGCACAGCGCACCAATTATGTGGCTCAGAGCGATCTTTCAATGAATGAGTAAGCGATATTCAGACACTGATGCGCGTATGTATGAAGAGCAAATGATGGGCGTGTGGGGATCCGGCTGGCGATGATTACTTATGGGCTACATGAGTAAACCCTCTCACCGGTGCCTTCACTCATGGACCAATGACATGGGTCTCTGGGTCAGGAAATGGTGCATTTGCATAACTGATGAATCCCAACAGGACGAAGTGATCGTCCATCACCTTTTCGGATGTGTTGGCCTTCCAACAGAATTGCGATGAATTTTATCAGAGACGAAAGTCCATGTTATACTCTAACAACAAAAATAAGCCCAATCTTATTGCAAAAATGATAGCATCGTTCATTTCGTGGTAAAAACGATTTCCTTAAGTCCCGACTGATATAAAATCCAAATAGTAGGTGTTGTCTCATGAAATTAATTTAGTCAGGTAATAAGAAAAACCATTTAACCGATAGCTCAGTTAAAATTGATTCAACAATGTTCCAATCTCTTAAACAATATTACCTTTTTCGAAGATAAAAGCCGTACAGCAGGTTCGACGTGTGTTCAAATAGTCAATTCGAAAATTACCTAACAGAGCACTTGAGGCAGAGGTAATAGCAAAACGGAAACGTGGGATGAGACGCTGATGAAAATGGACTCAAGTTAACGGAGAAACAAAAGAAATCAGAAAAACAAATAGATGAAAGTACAAACCTTAACGGTGGAATAAGTCGACCCCACTTTCTCGGTTATATTTTTTACTGTTTCTGAATTCCTAAAGAGACGTTAGTCACGAAATTGGAAGCAACTCACTTTAATGCGCTGATCGTCGAGCCTACTTTTTCCTTCGCTTCTTGAGCGACAGTGATTGTTTTATCTTTCGCCGTTGAGATGAATTGGGAAGTTCTCAAGTACCTTTAATAAAGTAAACACTCATCACTGGTCGCAAAAGCAAAATAGAGTGAGTACAATAATCTGTGAAACGACGTAGGGGCCTGCGTGAATCGTTTTCGATGGTTCGGTTATGCAACAATCATATAGGTTGTAAAAAGAAATCCAAGATTCTGAACGAATCATTCTAGACTCGCCTCATATAATGTTTTCAGATTCCGCCAAGGTTACAACTGAGGTCACCTGATGGCGGGGTCGACAGATACTATTAACTAAAGTTGGAAAGCAAAAAAGGAGTGGCCGAGAATGGCGCATGCCTAGACACAATAAACGGAATGAGCAGTCAAAACAGTAACCGGCAAACAGGTTATAATCTTGAAGTTCAGAATATAAACAGACTCTGATTTCACAATGAATGAACAACAACCCACCGAACCTATTTCATACTGCAAATTTTAATTTGTAAATGCACCAAGTCCTTCTCCCTACAATAAGTCGAAATATTGATAATTCGGGCTGGGTGTTGAGATATTGGCTTGTACGCTGAGCTGATCAATTTCAACTGCAGACATTTCGTCATCAACCGAAGTGACATTTTCAGTGCATAGTAATGTCAGTAGCTGTAGATCCATCAGCATTCCGTATTTGTGTGTGAAGGCGCAGTGCTTCTCATTCGTAATGAGAATTTCGGTGCTGTTACAGCAGTTACTACAGTACTGAAGATGTCACTTTGATTGGTGGCAAAACGTATACAATCGAAATGCTCAGCTCGATGGACAAACCAACATCTCAAAGATCCTCCTGCGTTTTGTTGTTGCCGTGCTTAGACAGCTGAAGCCGACAATCTGTGCACAGAAACAGTTGTTCGCTAGCCTCGAGCGACCACATGCTGAAGGGAACCGCATAAACCCTTCACACCTGCTTCATACCTGAGCAGCTGCAGTATTTTCTTGCCCCATGCTGAGGTTGATGTTGCTTCTTCACCGCAGTTGGGCCACACCGACTAACGTTTAGACTAGATCTTAACCTCAATAGAAAGTATTCCTCTTTGCAATCATTCGAAATACCTGTAGCTCAGGCTGGTAGCTGAAGTTTTAATTTGTTCTCTGAGCGGAGTAATTTAATGGCAAACGTTTCACCACTTCGCTCAGTAGCATCCTCAGTGCGCGGCTGCGTAGAGAATACTCTAACAGAAAGTGTCGTCAGGACGTGCTGTTTGAAATTGCCCTCCTCGATCCGTGTCCCGTGACCTCTGTTCGTTCGATTTTCGGCCGCCCATTTTCATGCTTTCTCAGCTGTAGGTACACTGGATCGAGGTCAATGCGGAGGTTCACTGAATTCTCCGTAGAAAACCATGCCTCGAGGAATTCTCTTCCTTTTCTTATTCCTCTGTGCTCCAGAATTTCCGTGTTGATCCAGTTGTGTCCTTCCTCATCGAGAAGCTCTGAGATCTGTGACGATGCATAATGGTATGGTCATGCACGCTTGTGCTCTTGTATTCTTGTAGATAGTTGTCTCCCCGTTTGACACACAGTCTTTCTCACAGTTCTTGCACCGTATCCTGTATACGACATTTCGGTGTTCGTGTGCCTCCAATTTCTCTTTTAAGTCTAGACAAGATTCCCTTCAAAGTCGCAATCGGTATGTGAGCTACCATCAGCTTGTGCGGTTTGAGGAGTCTGGCTGCCTTTTCCGAAAAGTTTTTGATGTATGACAAGGCGATACGTTTACCCGTTGTTGGTGCAGGTGCGGTAGTTGTGCTCCTTCGGTTTAGGTGTATTCGGATGAAACTGCGTGGGTAGCCGTTGCGAATGAAAGACACAAACAGATGTTCCTCTTCCTTTCGTTTCATCTTCGCCGTATTGCAATGTGATTCTATTCCACGAAACAGGGTCCGTATGCAGCTTATTTTGTGACACTTAGGGTGATTGCTGTTGAAGCTCATGATTTGGTCGGTGTGTGTCGCTTTTCTGTAAACTGCCGTTTGTAATTCGCCTTTCACTGTTCTGGTAACTTGTACGTCCAAAAAGGATAGTTGGTTTTCCACCTCTTCTTCCATGATGAAACGAATACCTTCCATTGAATTGTTAAGTAGGTCTTGTGCAGTCTGTAGCTGTCTGGGTTTGAGAATCACAAACGTATCGTCACTGTATCGCACCAAATCCTGAACGTCAACGGCAATCATCCTAAGTGTCACAAAATAAGCTGCATACGGACCCTGTTTCGTGGAATAGAATCACATTGCAATACGGCGAAGATGAAACGAAAGGAAGAGGAACATCTGTTTATGTCTTTCATTCGCAACGGCTACCCACGCAGTTTCATCCGAAGACACCTAAACCGAAGGAGCACAACTACCGCACCTGCACCAACAACGGGGAAACGTATCGCCTTGCCGTACATCAAAAACGTATCGGAAAAGACAGCCAGACTCCTCAAGCTGCACAAGCTAATGGTAGCTCACATACCAACTGAAGCTTTGAAGGGAATCTCGTCTAGACTTAAAAGAGAAATTGGAGGCACACGAACACCGAAATGTCGTATACAGGATACGGTGCGAGAACTGTGAGAAAGACTGTGTGTCAAACGGGGAGACAACTATCTACAAGAATACAAGAGCACAAGCGTGCATGACCATACCATTATGCATCGTCACAGATCTCAGAGCTTCTCGATGAGGAAGGACACAACTGGATCAACACGGAAATTCTGGCGCACAGAGGAACAAGAAAATAAAGAGAATTCCTCGTGGTATGGTTTTCTACGGAGAATGCAGTGAACCGCCGCATTGACCTCGATCCAGTGTACCTACAGCTGAGAAAGCATGAAAATGGGCGGCCGAAAATCGAACGAACAGAGGTCACAGGATACGGATCGAGGAGGGTAATTTCAAACAGCACGTCCTGACGACACTTTCTGTTAGAGTATTCTCTACGCAGCCGCGCACTGAGGATGCTACTGAGCGAAGTGGTGAAACGTTTGCCATTAAATTACTCCGCTTGGAGAACAAATCAAAACAAGTATTCAACGGTTTTATTTGTTCAGTTCTGTTTTCATGCTACATAATCGGTGTCGATTTTCGCACTTATTTTCCTTCGAATTCTGTGTGGTTTGTTTGGTATCCGAGGTGAGGCTGCGCCTGAGGGAAATGTTGACAAGGTGCCTACCTTTCTAATAATAATAAAAATAATGTGTCTGTCAGCTGTACGTCGTAATGGCGCTTCGCTGCCGTGCGACCATCACCAGTCGCACGCGGGCTGAGTATACCGCGAGGAGGCCCACCCCTACGCGGATTCGAACCGGCACCGCAAGATTACGAGACAAGCTCCTTACCTCTAGGCCTACATGTCTAGCATCATCCATCACGGTTACTGGCTCCAGGAGACTGAATCATTGCTAGGGGGGCCGAATGGACGGTCCTCGTGGTCCTGCTAGGCTCAAAGAGTGGTTCCATCCAGCGTGGAGAGGATTACGGCCAAGCCACCGCCTTGTGCACGCCTGGTACGCATGATTCCCAATTTAAGTAAACAAGAATGCTGTTGTTATGCATGCTGAAGTGTGGGCCGGCTCTGTTGATGAAATGTAGCCGCTATCCTCATGCCTCCCGGTCTTATTTCTTCCGATTTACACTGGATATGGGGTGTGTGGATGGTGCAGCGCAAGCCACCCATGATCCCTCTATGGGCGCAGACGTCCTGTGGTTGTCTTATGGAAACCGCAGTGACAGACAAATCTGGAAGCGTACATAAATATATATATATATAATAGATACTACAGAGCGCATGCATCAACCGATCATCGTTTCTTCAACTCATCCCACAGGCAATGCATATCAGGAAGTAAATGTTGCTTAAAAAAACCGACAAAGCTTACGCCTCCGTATCTTCCAACTTGTGTACGCTCTCCATGATATCGTGTTGCAAGGTTGAGAGGGTGGTGTATCCGAGAAGCTTTTTGATCTCGTTCGCACGCCGCACTTTGACTGCTAACGTGTCCTTCAGTGTCTGAATATCTTCCTCAACCTAAAGGGATGAAAGGAACTGGTTATAAAGATTAAAGAGCAGTGAAGCAGCCGGGACCCTTCGAAACACGTGACATTTGTTGGTAGTCGTAAGTGCGCGCTGATAAGTTGAATCAGAATTAGTTCAGTCATATGATAATCAATGAGACAAATAGAGCGTTTGTAGCGCAAGGACGCTCGTCGGAACCTGATGAGAGTATGCCCGCCAGGACCGGTTATCCCGAAACAGTTGACGTGGAAAGTCGCAGATCTTTTTTCATTATTGGCTTACTGTTCATCACTGGAAGTCTACCTCAGATGTGTTTTTGCATACCCTCGCCATCACACACTTCAGTCAGTGCTACAACGACTGCGTACCGATGATTCAAAACGTAATCTAGTGGGAGGCACCACAATCTTCGTCAACAACAAAAGTACGTAAATATTTCGCACTGGTGTTGGTGCGTCCTACTACACCAAGCTTCTAAGCAAAACAGACGGCGTGTGACCGCATTTAGCTCCACAGGAACTGAGGCTAAAGCTAAAATGCAAGCACTGCACAATGAAAGCGTGTCCTTGGCTGGATTAAGAGTTGACGCAGTTTGGAGAATAGGCGAAAGATGCGAACAATCAGTGTCTAGTGCCACTCTATACTTAGCTGTTACTGATGAACGGGATACATACGAACGATTGATCGCACGTGCCTAGTTAGTGATAACCTAGACCCCGTGTAGCTTAGAACCGTAACTGTTCCAGCTTGAGTTGCGACTGATGCGTCGATGGCCGAGAAAGTTGGAACTAAGAGTGATGACATACTAAGCGCAACTGTTACAATAATCACGCTGGAGTGCTAAGTTTTAGTTTCAGAGGAGCGACACTAGACGTACTCAATGTACGTGTAAATACCGCATGATGGTCTACTTGTTTCAGAGAACAAATACTGAAAACAGTAGGAGAGACCGAATAGCGTGGTTTGATAAGGATTTTTGAAGACTAATGGGGACAGTGTTGGTAACGGTATTGAGGGAAGTCATTCAGTAAAAATGCAGCTACCGTCACTTACAGTGCGAATTGGCAAAGGAAACGGGGAAACAAGTAGAAGGACGGAGTGAAGACAGTAGTCTGTTCCGGCATATCCGCACGCAGTGGATAAGGCAACTTTTCTAACTGTGTGACGGGTGATGTAGTATAGTGTGACAAAATAAACCTGGATATGTCTCATCCGGGATACTTGCAAGGTGCCCAAATCTAGGTAGAACGATTAGGGTATGGCCCAGAAGGAAGCGGAAGCATAGCGAGTTCAAAAGATAAGTTATTTCCCAAAAACAGGTGACCCACTTAGAAATCGACCTAAAAACCAGGAGACTCAGGTTGTCTGTTTTCTAAACATTGGTTAGTTTAGTGTGAATGGCCTCCAATGGACGATGGAACACCAACCAATACACGTCGACGCATCGTCCCGAGGCCCGGTCTTGTCAAGAGTTACAGTTAAAGTGGAAGTCCACATCAATTTAATACAGCGCGATCCGTCATTTCAAACAAAGCTGCATGTCGTGACCACGATGATTTTTCAGAACTGCCAGGCTATCCCAAGGAGGATGAACACATTTGGGTGGATACCCTGGTTGATATGACGAAGACATACCCTCGGTGGCGTTTGAGTTTTCTCTCGTTGTCCCTCCACGATTAGCATCAACCCCCAAAAATAATAGCAAACTGCATAGAGAATAGGACACGTTAAACAACCAGCCTTTTCATTTTTGTATTCTGAAATAATCGGAATTCACTTTCTCATAAAAAGTATACGTTGCGATACACTTATCTTAAGTGTTTCCCACCTTCATCTAATATATAATGAGGACAATGGTAATCATGAGGGAGTGTCCGTATCATACCGCTAATATAGGACCGGCTCAAGGCTAACGACATCTTCCCACTAGATGTGGGGGCAAGGGGCCGCCATAGCAGCAATATATATATATATATATATATATATATATATATATATATATATATATATATATATATATATATATATATATATATAAACGCATGTACACATGTTGCATTCGAACTGCCATTGGACACAGATGACGCCAATCTATGTATATATGTATACCGAATGAATTCCACGAGGATCTTCATACCGCTTATGTACGGTCAACTTAGTGCAGTAGAACGACATTCGAGCAAACCGAAAATAATATTACCAAACATGAAGAAGGTGAGTTTATGACAAACTCATGTCTATTTCAGGTGTTGCGAATCCAAGGCAAATTTTATCGATGCGAATTCTGTGTACTGCTCCAAAGAGCGGTTTCTCAGGTGCCGGAGAAGGCACTATAGTATGTGGAATAGAAGCACCATGAGTATGTTCCCATTCAATTTACTAACCCAGGCCAATAAGGCGGCGTATGTGGTACGTTTGCCTGCGTGATGAGTAATCTTGCATTTCAGAAGTAGATGTTGCTTGAGCACCCCTGTGTGGATGCGCCTGATGTGAATGTTGACAAGGTGCCTACCTGTCTATTACCCACTACCTCGTCCATACTGGCTCCAGGAGACAGTTGGTCGTCGCTGGAGGGGACGGAGTGCACCGTCCTCGTGACGGTGCTAGGCTCAAAGAGTGGTTATATGCAACCTGTGTGGAACGGGATACGGTCCAGCCACCGCCTGGTGTACGTCTGGTGTGTATGATTTCCCAATTAGGCCGGAATGCTTCCGTTCTGCTTGTTGAAGGAGTGTGGGCCGGCTCCGTTGATGAAACGTGGCTCCCATCCGCATGCCTCCCGGTCTTATTCCTTCGGGTTTACACTGGATATGGGGTGTGTGGGTGGAACTATGGGTGGTGCAGCACAAGCCACCCATGGTCCCCTTTGTAGGCGCAGGCGTCCTGTGACTGTCCCCATTGACGTCACAGTGACAGGCAAATCCGGATACGGACGCCGCCAAATCATATATATATATATATATATATATATATATATATATATATCAACAAAAAAGCGGGACAAGTACGGTAGCACAGAATTGCGGTAAGATGCAGTACGTGAAAACAGAACCTTCTCTGAAGGCTCTTTTAAGACCAACAAAGGGCGAATCACTGGCAATGCAATGGGTCATTAAGTTAAAGAAAATTGCTACCATGACGGGGTGGTAGTTTGCAAAAGAACATTGTCAACAGGTGGGCAGTTGGGTTGCGTCTCGGACTGGCTGAACGCTGCTGCGTTGTGGGGAGGAATTGGACCCCGCTTCCCACAGCCATTATGCCGGAGTTTCTGGCGCGTTTTTGCGGGGATATTTGACGGGCCCGCAACATTTCCTTTTGAAGAGAAATTGTACCGCTTCTGACGAGGATTGACCTGGAAGGATTTCGGCGACCGGATTCTTCCTGTTCGTCGACAAGGCGGGTTCTCCAGACGCGGCGGCGATTGAGCGGCTTCGACCGTGGTCTCTCGTTGTGTGGCAAATCCAAGGGTATCCAACAGGATGTGCAGCGGCAGGCGCACAGGTAGGCTGGCTGGCGTGGAGGTTTCTCCGTGGCGCGGTCGCAGTTGATTGCGATGGCGAACCTACGTGTCATCACCCACGGAAACATCATGCAGCATGTCACCTCGCCTGGTCGTCAACGTTACTTTGATCCAGCGTGGATGACCTGTGCGATAATCGCGAGCGTAGACCGGGGCTCCAACGACAAATTCTTTGTGCTTGGTGCAGGCACTAGAGTGACTAAGTGGCTTCCTAGTCGGAATGAGCGCTTCTTTGATGGTGCGTAGCTTGCGGCCCATCAATGCTTCAGCTGGTGACTGGCATCCTGTTGCAGCCGGATTCAGTGTGGACCGGTACGAGAGCAGGAAGGCTTGAAGACACTCATCCATGGTCCCCTCCCCGCGAGATTTCAAAAGCGCCCTCTTGAATGTGTCGACAAATTGCTCCGCTTGACCATTGGATTGGGGAGGGTAAGGCAGTGAGCGGAGGTGTTCGATGCAGTGTCGGCGACAAAAGTCTTCGAAGATGGAAGAGGTAAACTGGGTACCCTTTTCGGACACCAAAACCTCGGGAAAGCCATGTTGACTGAAGATTCGTTGGAGACAACCAAGAGTGGCGGATGAGGTTGGTGGGTTGACGGCGACCACTTCTGGCCATTTGGAGTAGGCGTCGACCACGAGCAGATGGGAAATGCCATCGATGGGACCAGCGTAGTCGATGTGCACTCGAGACCACGGTTTTGCTGACGGATGCCAAGGAACCAGTGATTGGTGTGGTGGCATCTTTGAGGCTTGTTGACATTTCGAGCAGCGGCAGATCAAATCTTGAATTTCGTTGTCAATGCCAGGCCAGTACACGTAACTGCGGGCAATTGCCTTCTGTTTAAACCGGGGGGAGCAGAATGGAGCTGCCTGCCGGAAGCATGAAGGAACGACAAGTCGATCTGCAGTCACGAGACAGGAATCGACCACGGAAAGTGAGTCGCGGCGTTGATGTAGTTGTTTCAGTTCACCAGACAAGGCAGTGTTTGGCCAGCACGTCTGAACGTAAGTGACGGCTTTCTGCAGGACAGAACCCTGAGCAGTTGTACGACGTATGTCGGCAGCAGTAATGGGGAGACTTCGGATAGCGCTCGATAGTTGATAACGAACGTGGTCGTCGACGGTTACAGCGGCAATCCCTGTGTCTTCTACTGTGGCATGTTTTGAAATGAGGCGGGAGAGACTGTCGGCATAACCAAAATCCTGAGTACGACAGTAGCGGATTACGAAGTCCTAACCAAGAAGAATGACGGCCCAACGCTGAAGTCGGTTAGCAGAGTAGGCGGGAATGCCCTTCTTTGAACCGAAGATTGAAAGTAGGGGCTTGTGATCGGTCGATAGCGTGAACCGCCGGCCATGCAGCATCTTGTGGAACTTGGTGACGACAATGGCAAGGGTTTCCTTCTAGATCTGACCAGAGTTCTTCTCCGCAGGCGTCAGGGTTCAGGAGACGTGTATAACAGCTTTCTCGGAACCATTTGGGAATCGATGG